CTTCTCAGCTATGTAGCTATACCTACACTTCCTCATCTGCAGTAGTTACATGATTTAGCATGTGCAATGGCCTCAGCCTACAGAAGGTGCGCTCTCTCCCTGATTATTATTTTTCTCCTCTCAATCAGTTACTGAGTGGATTGTCTGGATCTTAGACATCTAGGACCACACGTTTCCTCCAGTCACTGAGGGCTTGGTAGCACAATATGATCATAATAATAACAACGACACAGTCTTATTCCATTCATTGATTCATTTATCCATCCATTCATTCAAGAAGTGTTTATTGAGCATTTATTAAAGGAGGGACTGTTATGAACACTGGGGTATATGGCGCTGAGCAAAACAAACGAGGTGTCTGAAACAATGGCGCCTACATACCAGTGAAAGGGGAAAGATAGTAAACGTATGGAAACAAACAAATGGAACATGATAATTTAAGTGCTGTGGAAATATAAATCAGGGTTATGTGACCAAGAGTGGCTGGGACATGAGCATTGGGAAAAGGCTGTGGATTTGATTAGACAGTGCCTCTCTAAAGGGATGACATCAAAACTATGACCTGGAGGCCACAAAAGATCCTTTCAGGTGAAGTTCTGGGAAGAGTTGCAACAAGGTCATGAGGCGGAAACAGAGTAGTATGTTCAAGGAATATCAAAGGCAATCTGGACAGTCCACAGCAAGCAAAAACGCAGGTGCTCCCGCCCCACTGAAGTCATTAGTTCCTACTTATTTCAGGATTCCTGCACGGACTCAGGAACAATCATGACTGAACTCCTGGCTCCCTCGTGGTGACTCTCCAGAGTCACATTGAATGTGGGGCCTGGGCTTTTTATTCCTGCAGTTCCTGTTATGCTATTTGATATTGTCAGTGTTGACAGAGGTCTAGCGGCTGCCCTGTTCTCCTTCATAATCACCACACTAGAGCAAGGATAGAAATGCGTGTTTCGGGAACAGAATATTTCTCCTTGTGTGTATTGTACTCAAGACTTAGACCACAGAGCAGACTTGTGATTAGTTTCCTTGCCAACCTTAATGGAGTAGAATCTATTTATACGATCTTGTCTTCAGGTCATTCAGACTACCCTAGAAGTGCATCCTAGAACCCTTTCACTAATGTGGGAGTTCAACACATTTAAAAAGTATGGAATCATGCTCTATTCCACATAACTCTTCTCTTTTCTAGTATACTTAGTGGATAGGAGCCCAGGCGTGGAGTCAGATGGACCTGGGTTCAAGCCCCTTTTCCACTGATTGAGTGAACCTGAGCGAGGGAAATAATCTCCCTGTGCCTCATCTTCCTCTTCTGTAAAACAGGCAGAGTAATCATAACTGCATCATAGTTTATAAAACACCAGTACAGGACCTATCATATAAAAAGACACAATAGTTGTTCTTCAGTGTTGTTACTTTTGGACCAAGATGTGCACGTTGACCTTCTTCTTGTTCTTCTTCTTCTTCTTTTTTTGTTTTTTTTTTTTTTTGAGGTGGAGTGCAGTGGCGCAATCTCGGCTCACTGCAACCTCCGCCTCCAGGGTTCAAGTGATTCTCCTGCCTCAGCCTCTCAAGTAGCTGAAATTACAGGCACCCACCCCCACACCTGGCCAATTTTTGTATTTTTAGTAGAGACGGGGTTTCACCATGTTGGCCAGGCTGGTCTCAAACTGCTAACCTCAGATGATCCACCCGCCTCAGCCTCCCAAAATGCTGGGATTACAGGTGTGAGCCACCGCACCCGGCCCTGACTTGATTCTTTTAAGAAGAGTTCCTTCCCACTTCCTGTGACACTAAGATGTGATTTTTATTCTCCATGGTTTGGACAAAATGAGACACACCCATCAACTGGTTTGTTGAGTTACTGATTTCTTAATTACTGAGTAACTGATCCCTCCAAAGAGGATCCCCAGACCCTCATATAAGTAAAACTCTTCTCAGCAGTGCCTGGATTTATAGGCGATAACACAGCTGAGTTCCTTTTTTGGAGTTCCTTAAAACTGCAAAAAACAAAGCAAAACTCAGAGCTCAGACTATACTAGCTACTCTGATTTATGCAGACACCTGGACATGCATTAAATTCACAGTGTCAGAAAACAAGCATGGAAAACCCACTGAAGCACCAATCCATTTTTTCCCCTCTTGCTTTTCATGTGCTTTTGAGTAACCAAAGAACATTCTTGTTTAAAGTAAAAAAAAAAAAAAAAATACTAGTATAGTTTGCTTTTGGAGAGAGCTCCTTATAAAAGCTGCAGGCTTTGGGGGGCTGAAAAACAGAACAATTGGAAACTCCAAGTGTGACTTCCGGCCCTGTCATTTAAGACTGAATTCTTGGCCGGGCGCGGTGGCTCAAGCCTGTAATCCCAGCACTTTGGGAGGCCGAGACGGGCGGATCACGAGGTCAGGAGATCGAGACCATCCTGGCTGACACGGTGAAACCCCGTCTCTACTAAAAAATACAAAAAACTAGCCGGGCGAGGTGGCGGGCGCCTGTAGTCCCAGCTACTTGGGGAGGCTGAGGCAGGAGAATGGCGTGAACCCGGGAGGCGGAGCTTGCAGTGAGCTGAGATCCGGCCACTGCACTCCAGCCTGGGTGGCAGACCGAGACTCCGTCTCAAAAGAAAAAAAAAAAAAAGACTGAATTCTTCTCTCTGAGACACAGTGATGGTTACCATTTCATCATTTAGACTCCCGCCATGCACTTAAGTCCTATTCACAGGAAGAGTAGCTCACTCAGCCTGCAGTAAAGGTAGAATATGCAATAGTTCTGTGGTGTTGCTGGAACAGGGCTGACAAGAGAGAATTTTCCTGCTAATCCTCTATCCATTCTGACACCAGCCTGGCATTTGGGAAGTGGAAGGGAGATAAAGATTAGGACTACGCAGGGTGAGCAGAGACATGTAGCAGCCTATATGCAAGTGTCGCTTCTCAAATACAAAACTGAGAAATAGATCACATTTTACACTGAAATTTTGCACTGCTTCTGAGCATCTTGCCAAGAGCTATTCGGAAGACAGCAAATATTTTAGGATTAAGGGTCTCCAAATCTGAGCAGAACAGGCCCAGCCGTGGAGTAGGTCAGCACTTCTGAGGCAGTTGCTTTCACTTTTTGTGGCCATGTTTGTATCCATGTCATGACTGAGTCAGGAAACCCGCCTGTTCTGTTTTGTTTTCTTTTACCAGTTTTGGTTGTTTGACCATCAGATTATACAATCGCTGAGACTCAACATGCTACAACTCAACTTGGCTGCAAAGATAGCAAAACATAGCATTTTTAAAAATCTGCCAGTCTTTAGAGAGTTGAATTGCATAATGTCTGTAGCTTACCAAGTGTTTTTCCATCTTCAGTCTGATACAACCAAACTGAATAGTCTTCACAAGGTGATGTTTATGGTTGCTAAGACAGAAGACAGTTCCCACCCTAAGCCCTGTTCCCTCTTCCCTCTGCTTGCTCCCTGGGTGACTTCCTTCTTTCCTTTAATTAGTCATTCATTTGGTCTAAACTTCATTTTAACAAATGAATTCATTGCAATATGCATGTGGTTGCAGCCACCACCTGATGCTGATGGCAGCCTGCTCCCTCTTCTTATCCACAAGTGAGTACTGCTGTCTGCTGCACACACATTTCCACCTGGCTGCCTCATGAACACTTCTGGTCATTCTCCCCAGTCCCAAACTCTGCGTTCCTCACACTTAAATGCAAAGCTTAACTCATTCTCTTTCCTCCTCCTTCTTCCGAATTTCTAATTGATGGAAAGCTATCAGCACATTTTGCCCAAGCCAGAAACCTAGGTATAACTATTGATCCAGCTCCCTCACCGATCTTATACAATTGATTAATAAAACTTGCCCATGCTGCCTGTTAATATCCCTGAATTCTGTGCCTTTTCCTGTTGTCACTGTAGCTTAAGCCAATATCATTTCTTACTGGGATCAATGCATCAGCCTCCCTTCATTTCTCCCCACCTCTATTCTTGTCCAATTTCAATAGACTCTATGCAAGTAAGAGTCATCTTTCTGAAATGCTTATTTGACTATGTCACTCACTACTAAAATCTTTCAGTGGCTCTCCATGGCCCTCAGTCCAACCTCCTTTGTTTGGCTTAAAAGTTTTCTATACCTTAACCCTTTCCTACCTATATAGCCCTGTTTTCTACTGCCATCTGCCTTCTCCTACCTTCCAATTCTCCCCCAGCCTCCTTTCTCTCTCTCACCTCCCTGCATAAATGTATGGAGCCCTTGCTTCTTAAACAGCACTCCTTCTCTTCTCTGCCTGTTTTTTTTTTCCTTTTACCCCTAAGTTAGCTAGTGGAACATCCTCCAGGAAGAATTCTCTCATCACCCTCCTCCCTCATTAAACTGTGACCTCCTTAAAGATAGGGCCCATGTCTTCTTCACTTCTGAAAGTCAGTTTCTAGCAGAGAGCCTCCCACATGGTGCTTCATAAAAACTCAAAGGTTGAATGAGAATTTCCATCTCAATGTATGACTGAGAGTCTAAATGCAGTTCTCAGCCCAACATGTTACCCAGAAGGCCTCAGTGACCTCTCATGAAGAGTGACTCCCTGTGACCTCTTGGGTTTTCCCTGCATCCTGAAGTGAGCACACAATTAAATGGCCATCACTTACAGTTAAAAGCCAAGCAAACCTTCCACACCTTTCTGGAAATTCACAGTAGCACTGTTATCATTTTGCAGATGAGAAAATTGAGGCAAGGGAACAGGTGGCCAAAAATACCCTCATAGCCTTGAGAAAGTCCATCTTGATGCTATCCAGTGAAACTTAATGGCAAACCAGGAGCCAGGCAGCCTGCTTTATTTTGGAAATGAAAATGTCAGTATAGTATGGTTGATGAGAGTTTGAAGAGAAAAGATGCAGCAAAGTAGAACGCTAACACCAATTCCAAACAATTATCAAGAATCATACTAAAGTTACCACGAATCAAAATACCTCATATTTATCTCATTTATTTCTCACAATAATCTTTTTATTCGTGTTTTTTTATAGGAAGAAATTAAAGCTCGAGAAGTTCAATACCTTGCCCAAAATCACACACACACTAGTGAACAGCATAGTCAACATTTGAACCAACCAGTCTGCCTAATTTCAAAGTCTACGTTCTTGGATGTGAGGGAGATCTGGATGTGACATCTGCCACCCATTGATCACCAGGTTTGATCCAGCTGATCTGACTGGCTAGGCAGGTGTCCCCTTCCTCCCTCAACACTCCATGTGTATCCCTCCCAAAGCTGCATGCTCAGTTGAAGAGGACGACCATCCCCAAGAGAGAAGGGCCAGTCTTCCAGTAAAGGGTATATGAGTAGCTGTGCTCCCCTGCTAGAACCTCCAAATGAGCTTTCAAAGTCTACATTCTTCATCATCAAGTGATATTGCCTCTCTAAAGAGAAAATTGAAAAATTCAGGAAGACTGCTCCTTATGTGTGACCAGGGCTATATATAGCAGACATTCCTTAACTATCTCTTGAATGAAAATGAGTGAGTGAAAAATTTGTCTAGAATCTTCTGCTGGTTTATTTTCAGATTTCTTCTGTTTACAGAACAGACTCCCCAGGGGTCCTCAGGCCAATTCAGACAGTATCTCTTGAGATTTTTTTTTTTTTTTTCATGGAGTTTCACTCTTGTCACCCAGGCTGGAGTGCAATGGCACAATCTGGGCTCACTGCAAACTCCACCTCCTGGGTTCAAGCGATTCTACTGCCTCAGCCTCCCAAGTAGCTGGAATTACAGGCACCCGCCACCATGCCCAGCTAATATTTTTGGAATTTTTAGTAGACACAGGGTTTTGCTATGTTGGCCAGGCTTGTCTCGAACTTCTGACCTCAGTTGATCCATGTGCCTTGGCCTACCAAAGTGCTGGGATTATAGGCATGAGCCATTGTGCCTGGCTGAAATTTTTTTAAAGAGAAAAATCTAACCATTGACCATATTAGACATGAACAAGATGCAAACATCTTGAGTAGCATTGTCCAACAGAGCTTTCTGTGACTAAGGAAATGTTCTAGAACTGCATTGTACTATCTAGAGGTAGCCACCTATGGCTGTCCAGTACATGACATGTGGCTCGTGTGACTGAGAAACCAAATTTTAATTTAATTTTAATTAATATTAATTGAAATAGTCATATGTTGCCATTAGATGGCAAAGACATTTCATTCAAGTTATTTATTGAGCACCGAGCTAGAGGATGTCAAATACTGAACTAGCTGATAAGTGAGGTGAAAACTAAAACAATTCCTTGTCCTCGTGGAGCTATAGTCTCATGAAGCTAGATATTAATCAAATAATTATACCAATAAAAATAAAATTGCAGCAACAATGATTGTTATGAATGAAGGTTATAGAGTCTATTGAGATCTGGACTAACCTGAGTGTCTCATGGAAGTTTCCTGAAGAAGGAATATTTGGGTCTGATCTGATGGATGTTAACCAGGTGAGAACCTTCCCTGGAGAGGAATTGTAGGAGAAGTCCTGAGATCATTGGCAGAATGGGAACTAAAAGAGGGCAGAGAGGCTAGAATGCTAAGATCATGGGAGCAGTGTAGGGATGGCCTGGGTCACACCATATCAGGTCTTATAAAGCCATGTTAAGGCCTCTATCTCTGTACCAAGCATAAAATGAATCTATTGAACTGGTTTTGGTTGGATAAGGGGATGCAGGGAAACCAGTGAGGAAACTGCCCGGTAGTGATAGAATCAGTGAACATGGGAGCTCAACAACAGACATACACTAGAATCTCCCAGGTGCAATACAACTTCTATCTCATCCTTCTCTAGAGCCAGCCTTCCTACAGTTACATGCATGCCTAATTGCAGGGCTGGGTAGGAAGCCCCTCCCACTTCTACTCTCCGCCATCTCACAGATTCTCGTGCTGAAATCTCCTCTTTTACCATCTACTACAAATCTACCCACCATACAACGAGTGTTGCTTGTCTGTTTCAGGCTCATGGCTCCTTAGAATGAACTGTGAAGGTTACGAGAAGAACATTTAATAAGCTTAGTGAGCCTCTTCTCTTTGTTCTCTTCTTTCCTCCCAAATAATATTGCTGTCTCACTTTTCCCTTCGCGTGGGACAGTCATTTATTCTTTTACTCTTGTGGTTACTCTTTCCAGCCAACCTCTGACAATCTACCTTTCTGACGCCTCTTGCCAAAGGCATCTCACAATCTCAAGGGAGGGATGAAGGTTCACATACATAACATAATACAAGATGGCAGGTGTTGAGTACCATCTTCATGGAACAAGTAACAATAAGCACTTAGACAATAATAAATCAAGAGAGACTTCATAAAGGGATGATATGGGCTATGCCTTTAACAATGTCTGCACGCAGGAGCAGGAAGCCTTTCTAAGAGATAAAAATGTACAAGCAAAGGTCAAGGGCAGGGAAAGGCAAGAACTGCAACTAGAATTGTTTGGTTAGAGCCCTGAGGGAAGCAAGGCAGGCCAGACAAATTGAAGCCAGATGGCAAGGGGCCTTGAGCGTCACATAAAGCTATTTGAGCTGTTTTCATTAGGTAACAGCCATTGGAAATATGGGGAGGCCTAAACTAATCTGAGCAACATCTCACAAAGATGAATCTTAGAGTCATGTATGGAAGAATTTCATTGGATAAGGGACCAAAGTCAAGGAAACCAGAACAAAAGCTTTTGAATGGCCTGGCCTGGGCTTTCTAAGGCTTCATACTTTCTAAGTGTGCTGACTCTTTCTAAGTGCCTGACTCATTATTGTACACCTGCTTTTGTTTTAATGTATTTATTAAACACTTGCTAGACATTCACCATGCATGTCCAATGCCAGACTACAAAGTTGACCTCCATCCTATCACTATGTTTTATTCATCCTGCATCCATAGACTCTAGCAGAGCTCAAGTCAAGTAGTAGGCACTTAACAGATATTTGTTGAAGGACTGGTCAACTTTGGTTGCTAAACCATTGTAGCAACAAAGATAACAACAATAACAACAGCATGAGTGATGTCAGAGGTGTTTGAACCAGAGTGCCTCCATCTTGAATAGGGGCTGGGTATAATAAGGCTGAGACCTACTAGGCTGCATTCCGAGACAATTAGGCATTCTAAATCACAGGATGAGATAGGAGGTCGGCACAAGACACAGGTCATAAAGACCTTGCTGATAAAACAGGTTGCAATAAAGAAGCTAGCTAAAATCCAGTAAAACAAAGATGGTGATGAGAGTAACCTATGTTCATCCCCACTGCTACACTTCCACCAGCACCATGACAGTTTACAAATGCCATGGCAATGTCTGGAAGTTACCCTATATGGTCTAAAAAGGGGAGGAACTCTCAGCTCTGGGAACTGCCCATGCCCTTCCTGGGAAACTTATAAATAATCCACTTCTTGTTTAGCATATAATCAAGAAATAACCATAAAAATGGGCAACCAGCAGCCCAGGCTGCTGCTCTGCCTATGGAGTAGCTATTCTCTATTCCTTTACCTTCTTGATAAACTTGCTTTCCCTTTGCACTGTGAACTCGCCCTGAATTCTTTCTTGTGCAAGATGCAAGAACCTTCTCTTGGGGTCTGGATGGGGACCCCTTTCCGGTAATAGTAGTAAGAGTGATATCAGGGAGTCACTCTGTCCCAGGCAATGGTATAAGTGCTTCACACAAATCAGTTAATTTAATCCTCACAATTACCTTATGAGAAAAGCCTATTACTGTTCCCACTTTACAGATGGCAAACTAAGACCCCTAAGAGAAAGGTCTTGCTCAAGACATCACAGATATTAAGTAACAGAGCTGGAACGCAAACCATAGTAATATATCAGCCTATGTTCTGACTCAGTATCTCACACCTCCTTTCATGGGGCTGTCTACTGATTTCTGGACTCTTCACCTTCCGCATTTGGCTTTATGTCTAGAATAGCAAGAAGCAGAGACGCTCTATAAGTAAAAGTTCATCCAGACAGCCCACTTAAGCATTTCTGGAAGGGAAGATTTCCCTCCCTCCCATCTCTATGGTCATTATGGTCACTGTCAGGCAAGAGAGGCCATTCAGAGGTACATCCTGAGACAACATGCAGGATCTTTGTGGGAAAAAAGCAGAAGAGATGACGCAGGTGGCCTCCTGGGAAAGTGAAGGGAACCTGAAACTGGGTAATGGGGTCCATCCTACACTGGGCATGAGGTAAGGAATTTTACCTTCTTACAATTCTCACAACTTGTGCTGGAAGTATTATTGTTCTCAAAGAAATTGCCTAATGTCGCACCACTAACAAGGGGCAGGGCAAGTGTGTCTGAACCCTTTCCATCTCACCTCCCTGTCTCTGCCTCTACAATAATGGTGAAATTGGGGTGGGGACAATGAGGAGGAAAGTGAGGGGGCATTTGTACACCTCACCAACAAACGAAAAAGTAGACATTTGGAGAAGAATCATTTATATTCTATGGGCATCATCATTAGGGTTTTGTGGGGAAGTGGGGTTGTTCTGTGTTTTTGTTTTTGGCACGAAAACTAAATCTACCACATATTTTATCAAAATGACATAGCTATTCCCTGTTATAAGAAAACCCACCACACCAAACCATTACCATTATAATGTGCATTAAAGTAGCAAATTATTTTTATTCTGCCTAAGTATATAAATTACTAAATTTTTCAGGTTTTTCTAGTAAGTGTCATGCCAATGCTATTATCTTGTCCTGGTTCAATGAGCCTTATCTTGAATATCACCTAGTGTTTATAATGGAAATTTTAAAACAAAAATCTGAGGTCAAACAATATGTATTGAAAGCAGACACCTGGCCTGAAAGACACAACCTCAGGTCATTCAGTGATTTTTCCTGATTATCCGTATTTTTGAGTAGAAGAAAATGGTTTTTCAGATTTGTATTTAAATTTCAAAATAACAGTGGTAGAGGCAAATTTCCAAGGTCTGATGTTGTCTTAGATCCACAGTTTTTAGTATTTTTCCTTCAATTCCTCAGTAGGATAAAATCATTACAAAAGTCCCTTTAAGATCTCATTAAGAGGAGACCCCATGAAGCTGAGCCCACAGGGAGACATAGGCAGGGTACAGCCATCCTATCTCATAAAGAAAGAACAAGCCCTTCTGATGAATCGCAAACTGTCTTCATCTTAGCCCAAATGTAGGAGTTACATGTGAACCAACCAATCGACATCTCACTCCTTATATCTAACAGTGCCTGCAGAGGCTGTTGTTGGACTCTTTTGTCTTTGAGGTGTTGACTGAAGTCCTAAGACCCAGAGTCTCTGGTTTCTTCCCAGAGTCCCTGGGCTTGGTGGAGGTCCTGGAATCCAAGCCACAGTGAACTCATGATCCAAGGGTTTACTCACTGGTTCAGGCAACAGGAAGAGAGGCCCAGTTCACCTGGGGCTGGTTTGGAGGGTCTAGAAAATATAAAAAGTGAAGCTCTCCTGGCCCACAGGGAAAAGGTAAGAACATGTGTCTGGGGAACAGGAAGGCACTCATTAGAATACGGAGCATCTCCTAGGGG